CCCTGGCCTTTTCCACCATCACTCTGCTTAAGTAGTTTAGTTAGCAATTTCATACTATATTTAATTCCTAGGAAGGATTTGCATGATGCAGCCGGCGCTGGGTGGTCAGACATACAGAGAGAACAAAAGATAAGATTCCGCTCTGATGTTTCTAGGTGGTAAAACCTCAACACGACACTTATGGATCTCGGATTGAATTTCATCTCATATCGAATGTTACCCTTGTAGGGAGGAGAGAAGAAGAGGTGATCTAAAAGTCGGGAGCAGGACTCTAAGGTGGCAGCGTCAGCAATTTGGGCAGAGACATAATCAGCACTTTTGCCTCCTAATTCATGGCCAAGGAAGCTGTCAGCAGCCAGACACTGACAGCCCTCCAGGAGGCCACCACACTGAGAAAGAATGCTAAGGCTGCTTAATGGTCCAGTAGAACAATGGCAAATAGAATAATGAAGCCCGAGAACAGCTTCTTGGCTTTTTGCTGACTGAGCCAATGGAGATGCATTTTATCATTACAATAATTTCACAGTCGTACTCTGGATGCCTTCACAATAGTGCTCTGTACCCCTAGAAATATCCTTGTGTTTTCCGAGCATCTTTCAGTCTCTGGGTTGTTGTGCGGTACGTCAAAGGAGAAGAGGGGCTCAGATGTCAGTTTCCTAAGGATGACTTATGCTTACAAGTGTAATTTCCAGTGCTGTGTCTCTCCAACATAAATCATACTGTTCCAATGACAGAACTAGTTGTATATCCTTTCAAGTATGTTTTCCCAACTAATGATCCTATGTGGCTTAAAATTATACTGACAGACAACTGCAGTGGCTTTTAAACTAATGATACAGTCCGAGGATTATTTCCTCTAAATAGCTCAGAGATGTGAATGAATGAGTCGTACATCATTGCAGGAAGTAATTTCCCTCAATGGATTCTACCTGATGAAATCTCAATGCATTTCAGATCAAGTAAAAGCTTTCAATTGAAATAAGACTCTGAAACTGGCTCTGGAGTAAAACCTAAACCCCGAGGGGAGACAGCTGTGAATATATTTAGTACTTTCCACTTTCCAGGAGCCCTTGTATTGCAAATGTCTCTGCTGCACAGCAACTTACTTTGTAAAGGAATGGAATGGCATAGGTGGCTCTCAGTAATTCTTTCAAAGTTTCATCCTCCTTAATGTGGGTTGGCTTTCTTAATGGGTCACCATATTGCAATGTCTTAACCATATTCTCCCAGAGGTTTATTTCTTTCTGATCTAGACTATGCCACAGACATACAGATGTTCATCAGGAAACTAAGGCACTTGAACACATCCAGTGGGGTGTTGTAATGGGAAGCAAAGAAATGTAGCCTAGACCAGACAAATTTAAAACTAATATAATGCTGTTTTTTTTTGCTTCTCTTCCTCTTATGCTAATACTCTGTGTGTGTGTGTGTGTGTGTGTGTGTAAAATGTAGATCTTTTCCCCCAACCTGGGCCAGATCTTAAGCAGGCAATCCTTTGTATCTTTGTTTGCCTAACTGTTCATTTCACTTGTCTTGTTTCCAGGTCACCTCTAGAAGAAGAATAATCAAAAAACCTTCTGTGAATAACTTGAAACTCAAGGATATGAATGAATTACACAAAATCAAGCCCCTGATCTACATGGAGTCAGATTCTAGTGCAACCTTCTAATGCTCTTTCACACTGTGGCGATGACACTGTATCTGCTCTCATGCTGCTGTCCTCAGGAGTGTCACACTGTCCCTCCAAAGAGACCAGAGGCACCTTATGGACAGAGGTATGTCAGGTCACCACTGTCCCTTACACGGGGGTGAGTACACTGATAGTTTGTGCACTGCAGAATGGCTTTCTTTAATCTAAACTTAGAACTGATGAAAGGGTGACATGGCTGTTTTTAATGATCCAGTCCACAGGTTTTGGGGGGTTTGGAGCAGGTGATAGACTCAGCCTATAATATGGAACCAGAGTGAGAAATTATATAATCTGGCCTCTGGTTTCCTTGCTGACACTTAAGCAAAGGTTAGAGGATCTAACCTTAACTGAAAAAGGATAACGCCTGTTCAAATGCCCAACTTGGGTGTTGGAAGGAAGCACGAGATGAAAACTGTAAACACTGTTTAGTGCCACACCAGTGCCTAAGTGTCATTACTGACACTGTGTCGTGGTTCTCTCTGGGACCCTGGACTAACCGTAGTAATAATTACGTGGCACAGGGAAGAAAAGAGCTGGTGAAAAGATTGCTGGGCACCTGTTTTTCTATGAATCTGTAAAGAGATTTAAAAAGGCCATGCGTAATCGGCATCCTTCCACAAACACTTATTTGGCAACTACTATATTTCAGGAACTTTCATATGTTCTATTAGTCAGGATGATAATGATAAGGCAGTCTTTAGTAAAGGTTTATCATGTGCCTGGCTCCACAGCAAGAACTATAATAAGTATAACTGTCTGTGAATGGAGTTAGTATTATTATTTCCATTTTACAAATGATGAACTGAAGGCTCAAAGAAGTAAAATAGCCATCCTAAGGCCATCCAGCTACTGAGGGACAGAAGAAGCAAAAGACTTGAAGGGTGGAATCTGGGATCGGTGCCTGTCTTTGCTACCTCTCAGCTGCCTTCCTGTTCTGGTGGTTTTATGTTCTATGGCACCAGAGGTGATCTCCACATTAAACCGTGTGGTTCTTTATAGCTTGTGGCATTGTGGGCACCAGGTCAGCAGCCCTGCTGGTGCTGAGGGTAGTGTGCTGGATCAGGGTTAGATTCTGCAGCTAGTTCTCTGGCGGTTGCCTGGCTTGTCTGGGGCTAACCCCTGGTAAGGCTGTTAGGTGCAAGATCAATGCCACATTTCATCCAATCCTAAGAGACTATAAATAACAGATGGTAAGGTGACTGGGTCCAGAGAACCAAGATGAAGGAAGATGCCATACGCCGATCTTAGCGATCCAAGCAGGAGGATTTGAAGTCTGTGGATCAGGGCACTGGGAAAACCAGTACTGCTCAGTCAACAGGGGACACCAGCTCAACCCAGAGCCATCTGGAGAGGCTGTTGGGGCAGCCCTATGATTTACTAACAACCTTGTAGAACGACCTGTTCTTAGAGCCAGTCAGAGGCATGTGGGTAAGGTGACCCCTACCCCCGAGCTGGACTAGGATAGACACCCCAAAAGCCCTCACATGGGAAAGAACTTGGGTTAAATATGCAGGTGGCAGAGCAACCCAGACATCAGCACTGCTGCTCAGCCCCAAAGGAACCAATGGAAGCACAAATGAATGACCTGCTTCCAACACAGCTGACAGGATGCCAGAGGCTTTGTAGGGGCAGCAAGCCTGCCTGCAGACACACGGTCCAGGCCCGAGGACCAGCAATCTTAGCTCTCCCTTTCCTCTACAGTGAAAACAAACAAAAACAAACAAACAAACCTACCTTCATCCCAGGGATTCAGCCCATCGTATATTTCCAGGGAAGTTAAAGCACTTGCTCTTTTATTTTGAGGCTTATATGCCTCATGTTTATTGCACTCACTACTCTGATTTCTTTGCAGCATAGATCCCACCGTGGGCAGAGGATAGGCATGACTTTTATGATGTGTTCCTGAGCCGGGGGGACTCACGGTTAATGAATCCTGCAGAGTGCAGGCAGCTACTGCCCACCTCTTCCCCTACTCAGAGGGGAAAGCAGCAATCCTCCTTTTATTTTCCCAGCCCCTGGTTGCCCATGAATGGGAACTTAGCTTATTTCTGAATCATCCCTAAACTTCAAGCCCAAATGGAAGTTTAAGTGAGAGCCACTGCCTCTGTGAGTTATTGGCGGTGATTTAGCACTGTTACGTTCGCTGATGGGAGATTAAAAGTTCTGTGCCGGGGGAATAAGGAGCGCTCTTTCACAAACTGTTAAACTTTGCTACCTAACTCATCTGGGGTCTCAGTGTACTCATCTGGACAATGTCAGGGTTAGATTTAATCCTCCTGTAACAGGCTGTGAAGCTATAAAGCATAAATGGACACGCATGTGCATTTCATTAAAGCGTTTAGAATCATAGATTCTAAATGTTAGTGATGTTAGTAATGTTTAGCTACTATGTTTTGGGTTCCAGATGTCTAATAGGTATTTAATGCAAGAGCAGTGCTAATTCTACTGTAAACTACTTCTGGGCTTTCTGTATGCCATTTAATGATAATGGACATCTTTGGAATTATGACTCAAATAATATGTGTATATATCTGTTCCTATTTAGTTGACTGGCTATTGCTGTCATTAGCATCCTACAGGCTGTGAAAAATAATGCAGGTGAATCTCTCTCTTGGTTATGATAGAATACTGCCCCATCCATTTCCCCTGCTCAGTTTCTGGTGTCACACAATGACCAGTAACCCACCCCACCGAGTTCCCACAGATGGTTGGTAACAAGGACAACTGAGCCTTCCTACAGTGCACATCATGGTTCTTTTGTGAAGGAGAGCACAGGCTCTAGTCTACACCAATATGTTCTTCTATAAATTACTCTGGGGGAAAGAGAGCTTCAAAGTCCTCTTCAAACACAAAGCAATCAAATGACTGATGAATATAGCCCCTGTCATTGTTACACCTCTTGGTGAAGAGTGGTGACACTAATATTGAAAACAATGCACGACACAGCATGGAATGACCCCTTGTGCAGAATTTCAGCCTCTGTAAAATGTGTGTGAAACAGCCTAGGCTGAGTGGGGGCACTTGGCTAGATAACGGACTGCAGTGCATCCTGGAAGAAGAGCCAGGAGGCCAGCACTGGACTGATGTCCTGGGCTCTGGTGGCGCTAGGTCTGTCTCATTTCCATGGTCCCCCTCATTGTTAGCCACATGCCCGAGAGACAGGGTCTGTGTGCACTTTTTCCTTAAGCTGAATCCTCCTTTTATATACAGATTCCTTCAATGTGAAATGTTTACACTGTTGTCAATATTTACCTGTGTGTTGCTTTATGCTGTCTAGACTGTAAACTTTTGAGGTCACTGACTACCCCTCTTTTTAATAGAATACTTCACAAATCTTCATGTCATCTTTGAGCAGGGGCCCTGCTAATCTGTGTGTCCTTCCAATGTTAGTATATGTGCCACTGAAGTAAGCACAGTGACCACCCTTTTTACTTTTCTCATTTCTCTCTTTAGTTCAAAAAGGATGCCTAACCTAAAGTAGACCATAACTGTTGAATGAATAAACATACAGATGGATGTGCAAGTGAATCCTAAGCTTATTTTTTATGTATGTATGAATCCCTAACAAAACTACATTATTTTCTGGCCTGTTTTTAAAATTTGCAAAATAATACAATATTGCATTCCTCTGAAACTTGCATTCGTAATGAAAAGCACATTGGTGAGATAAATGCATGTTGATACACATCATTCTTGTTCGGGCAGCTCTGCTGAGCAGTATTTCACTGTATGAACATGTCAGAATTCATTTACCTAGTTTCAGGTGGATAGAATTACAAACATTGCTGCTAGGAAGAGTCTTAGCATGTCTCCATGGGTATCTGTGGACAGGATTCTACCAGGTACATACCAAGAAGCAGAATTGCTGGGTCACGGAGGATGCATATCCTCAACTTTACTACAATTGCCTGATAATGATCCAAATTGGTTGTACCAATTTATGCTCCCATAGATCTACATGTATTAAACTTCAGTTTTCCAGTGCACATGCTTGCCTCTTTAGGTGCTGACTTCCACAAGAAGATGCTCTTTATCGGCAAGCTTGCCTGAGGGCCTCAGAGATAGGTTGGTGCTTGTTCAAGATTCCCATCATTCCCCAGCTGTTTTGTGAACTGAAACTTCTGCTCTCCTCCGTGTCTGAAGTATCAGAGTTCCTTACTGCCAACCCTCAACAGCCTGTTCATTGCAAACATGGGTTCTACCATAATGGAATGTCACCTATACTAGCAAAGAAAGAGTTATCTTTATCTAAATGTGATCAGTGTTAATGGGTCTGACTATAATCCCTTTCACATACACCTGGTCTCCCCATGTCCTGACATCCTTAATATCCCATTACACTGTATGGCAAGATTACAGCACCACACACAGGGAACAATGCTGCTAGAGTTCTGTGATTTTGGTAACAGTAGGTTTCAACTTAATGCCTCCTAAATGCAATTTATTAAATGCCATAACACTTCAGCATATAAGGTATTAAAACAAATCAGACTCTGCAGTATTCACTCCATATTTCAAAAGGGAAATGTGTGTTAGGTGACTATGTAAACAAGGATTTGTTCCCAAAGCATCCTGCCATGATTTAGAGCTGAAGTATTTTTCCTTCTAATAGTTACTTTTCCCTTCAAATAAGGTGAGGATTCATAGAGGGGTTAAGCACTTAAAAAACATTTTTCTATGTTTATACTTGGCCTTTTTTTTCCAATTAGGACTTGGAATGGCTAGTATACTTTTTGGTTTGTTTGTTTCTAATGTAAACTTTCTTCTTGAAGAATAAAATACATACCGAACGTGCACCAGTGATATGCTTACAGGTTAATGACATTTCACCAAGTAAACTCCTTCTTGTAACAGCAGTCATATCAAGAAACAGAACTATCAGAACCCCTCTCGCCCCTCACGCTCTCTTTCAGTCATTAACTACCCGCCCCATTCCCAGGATAATCATTATCTGTTTATTTCTTCCTCCAATACAGGTAATATTTAATTTAATTTTATCCCAATCTCAAGGGTCAGATGACCCCCTAGGGACATCCGTATAACTCAAGTAAGAGGATAAATTACAATATAAAATAAGAACTATGATAAAGAGGGGATGGGATGCTCTGATAGCCCAGAAGATGGTGCTTAATGTAATTTGAGGCCTGGGAGGCTGAAGAGGGGTTGATAGGGAGACTTTCTAAAAGAAATAATATTCATCTGTTCTTGAGGATAGTAAGAGTAAGCCCAGAACAAGTGGATGAGACATGTAAATAAGCCAGAAGAAGGAGGGAAGGAAGGAGAGAGAAAGGAAGTAAAAAGACAGAAAAGGGAGAAAGAAGGGGAGGGAGGGAGGGAAGGAGGGAGGGAGGGAGAGAGAAAGGGGGAGAGGGAGAGGTCTCAACCCTTAATCTTTGTATTGGATCCTAGTCCAAAGGGAGTAGTAGGGCTTCTCCATTCATAAAAGTCCAGTTTCCCAAGGGGGGATAAGGGTTTGAAGATTATCTGAGAATTTTCTAAAAAATACCAAATCTGTTCCTGACAAGGAGGACAGCCCAGGATCTGACTGTATGCCTGAGACGGAAGAAAGGAAAATTCTGGTGCAGCGAAGAGAGTCAAGCCAATCCTTGCAGACTATCCGCACGAGCAAAAATCATGTCTGATTTCAGTGTATAAGTTAGGAGACGAAACAGGTCCCCAGAAATTTGTGGAGTTGGTTCATTCACCAAGTTGGTCTTCGGTTCCCTGTACTCCAGTCACTGCTGCACAGCGTTCAGGGCTCTTTCTTCGTTCCTCACGTGCCCTGAGGATCCCAGGTCCCAAAAGATTACTCCAACTTGCCCTGCAGCGAAGCTCCCAGTACGCGTGGGATCTGTTCTTACTTGTTGGGAAATACAGAGGATTTGATAATTATACTCCCACTGAGTCATTAACAACTAACTGAAGTATCCTATACCACCTGTCTGGGGAGTTAGTCGAGACACGTATTTTAACAGGGGTGGCAGGGGGCACGCTCCCTAGTGACTCATTTCAACTCATGGCCATTGAGATTAAAAATGAGCCTCTTGTTTAAATACACTTCCTCTTTTAGGATAATCTGTGGATACGTATGTATGCATGGGCACACATAATGCACACGTGTGAACACACAATCACATCTCAACAGGAGATCAGGGCCTCAGCCACAGAGGCACAGCAATCCTGCTAATTTCATAGTAACAAATTCTGCTCAATTTCTGTCAGGGAAGTCAAGTCTAAAGTTATACATCAGAGCTTTCCACCCCGATGAAACCCAGAGAAAACAACTAGTTTTCTTTCTAATTGCTGGATAATTAATTAATTAAGAGAAACTTATAACACATGTTAAATAAATAATTGTCTAGCTAAATCTCAGACTTAAAACATTTTTATGTTGGTGATTTTGAGAAAATGTGGAATGAAGGAGATATTCTCATTCAAACTAATTATTTTCCTTAGAACATATAAAAATATATTGTAAAGGGGGGAAGTAAAAAAAGAGGTGATTAAGCATTTTACTGGATCAGATGGAAGTTTCAGATTTTGTCGAAGAGGAAGAAGGAGACCCTAATAGGAGCTGGTTTTCTGTGCCCGTGTGTCCATTTGATACTGTTTGTGGGCCAAGCCTCCTCTGATTGGATTCTCAGATGCCACCTGTGCAGCCTTCATCTGGGCGTGGCCTGCCTTTCAACAACAGATGGGTGACTTAAATTTGTATCCGTGTTTGAGAAGCACTGTGCCAAACAGCCCTTTGTACCAGGATGACTCCTGCCCTTCCCATAAGCTGCCAATGGCCTCTTCTGGCTTTTGCCTGTGGAGTTCTATGTGTTATGTAACAAAAAGAAAAGAAAGAAGACTATTATGGCTTTTCTCCTCTATGAAGCCTTTTTAAATCAGTCATCTTCCTTCTCTGAAGCACATATTTGCAGACGATTTGGGTAGTACTTACCAAAAGGTGTGATCACGCCTGTTATCTGTCATATCCCACAGGACAGGTGACCAGTGCGGTGGTCAGTCTCATGAGCACTAAAGCCAGATCGCTGGGGTTCAAGTCCCAGCAACTCTACTCACTGGCCAGTGACCTTGAGCCAGGTACTCAACCTCTCCGTGTCTCAGCTTCCTCCTGTGGCTCTATCTCTTGGACTGCTGTAAGGGTCTTTCACCACTGTGCCTGCACAGATTGACACTGAAAACATGCCCCTTTGGTATCATTGAGGGCAGAAAGTATATTATTCCCCTAAAATCCCACCCAGCTCCCGATGCCGTACCTGGCACACAGAAAATGCTCGGTTAACAAGATGAGTCACTGTGACACCAGCCAGTAAGCTCACCAGTTACAAAATGTTAGTTTTATTTTATTTCCACCAATGACCAATACCACTGTACATTGATAGAGCTCGCCCACACTCTATTTGGGAGTTGTGAGTGTTTGTGTTGGAGACACTTCCAGTTATCAGATTGCAGGTATTTCCTTTAGAGACGGAAAACAAAGGTAACCGCAACAAAAGAGCCAGGGTCTATTTAGTTCCTGCACTTGGGAGCCAACATGTTAAATCTTTCCTTTGTGGACACATCAGCCCAGCCGCACTGGGACAAAGCCATGCGATCGATCCTCTGGTTCTTTAAGTAACTGCCATGTTATTCCCTCCTTGTCCCCTGATCAACCCCGACGTCCTTTGAAATACCCACAAATGGAGTGATATGGGCATTTTGTTACCTTTTATTCACAGGGTTTGCAACTACAGCCAGCACCTTCATCCTGGCACGGGGAATTAGATGAGAAGGAAAGGATGCAATTTCACCGCCTTCCTCGCTGGGAAAGACTCTCTTTCCATCAGTTGGTCAAGGCCCTGCAGGGTGCAACCATCTGTGCTGATCTCCCCACAGATCGCAGGAGGCTCAGAGATAATTCTACTTCCTGTCCCGGAATCCCGACAGAGTGGTACTCAGAGAGGGCCGAAGGGCACTGATATTTTGCTGGAAAATCGTGAATAACTATATGGGTAAATTTTTAATTAAATCTACTCTTTCTTATTACTACTAGTCAACAGTGTTTATGCGAAGCACTTAGAATGACGTCTGGCAGGAAATTAAGACTCTATAAGCATTGGCTAATTTCCCTCTGTTACACAGTTATTTGGTGCTTCATTCTTTTTAAGCATTCCATGTTCACCATAACTTTTATTTTACTTTTCTTTTTTCCCCCTCAAAACTCTTTATGAGGAAGAAAAATAAAAGATGTTGTTTCAATGTATTTAAGAAGAACACAGACCCAGAGAGACAGTTGGGGAACATGGAACAGAGAGCAGCACTTGGCTTTCTGACTCCGGGGTCGCACTTTCCATAAATAAATCCTCTCCCAGGGTCTGGAGGGGTAGGGAGCTGAGTGGGTCTAGCAATGAAATTTCCTGTCTTCC